GGCCCGGCCCCGCTGCACTCACCCACCTCGTCCGCGCCGGGCGTTGGCAGTTCTGCGGGGTCTCCTCGCCTCCGAGCAGGGGCCTGACGTCAGCGCGCACGGCGCGGGGCGGGGCTTGGGCGCTGTCGTGTGTCGTGCGCGGACACGTGTGGTGCAAGCGCGTCCCCACACCGCCAGAGGCCGGCCGGGTTGCTCGTCCTCTCGCGATGCAAAGCCCGACCCCTTGTCCCCCACACACCGAGACAGCCGGTTCCCTGTCGCTAGAGGACAGCCCGATGGTCCTCGGGGATGGCCGCCTCAGGCCGTGTCTGGCCCCAGCCCCACTCTGAGCCCGGGCCCCGCCTGCAGGGTCTCAGGCCCCAGTCCCGGTGCGCAGGGAGCAGTCGAGGCCCGGCGGGCCCAATCGTGGAGCGCAGGGTGGTCCAGCGCGAGCCCCTCGGTCCTACCATGGGCGCGTAGCGACTCCCTACTGCACCATCCAAGCGGGGAGGTGGGCCACGGGGCTGCCCGGTTCAGCTCCTGGGGCCGGGAGCTCCCCTGGCCCCGGTGCATGGAGGGGGCGGACGATGGGAAGGGCAGGGCATGGCGAGCTCAGGCGTTGCCCCTGCCCGCTACATCAGCGGTGCTCAACCCTTCTAGCCTCGAGGCCGTCTCCATAAACGCTGCCCACGGAACTACGAAGAAAAGCTCCTTGCCGAGGGGCTGGGAAGCGGGGGCAGGGGCACGGCCAGGCAAGGCCTGAGCCTGCGCTTACCTGCCCATCTCCTCACCGCTGCCTGCACGCCACGGAGCTAGAGTCTAGGTTGAGCGGTTCTCAACCACCGTGTCACTCCACTCCAAAATATTTTGGGGGGTGCTTTCATACTATACTAAAAAAAGGTTGAGAACCACTGGTTTAGAAGAAAGGACTAGGATCCCCTGATAAATTGGGGGGAATGATCTGAAATAAACAGGATGAAATTCAGTAAGGTCAAGGGCAAAAGGTGATGTTTGTGGTTCAATTAGGAAGAACTTCTTCACAGTGAGTGGCCAAAATCTGGACTGGGCTCGCAAGGGAGGTGGTGCTCTCCCCTACCTGTGGGTCTTCAAGAGGAGGTTGGATAGGCATCTAGCTGGGGTCATCTGAACCCAGCGCTCTGCAGGGTTCACTATGCGGGGGGTCGGACTCGTGGTCTATTGAGGTCCCTTCCGGCCCTAACATCTATGAATCTATGAATTGAGGAACCATAGTCAGCTTGCAGGAACAGGTTACATTTATTAATAAATAAACTAAAGGAGATGGATATTAACTGAGAACCAACCCCAGTGGGCAACAGCCCGGAGCCCTGCTCCTAACCCAACTGCCCACTGTCAGTTTTCTCTGAACAACATAGTTATTTTCAGACAAACCTGTTACAAGGCCAATACCCTTACATACACAAAGTGCTACACTTAATAAAAAACAGTCAAATTCACGAATGTGAAATGAGGAATTACTGGTTAGTCTGCAGTATTGTGAAAAGGACCTGGAAGCTATAGGAGATGACAAGTGAGTGACTCAACACTGCAATATCGTTGCACAAAAAGCTAGCAGCATTTGGGGTGCATTAATACAATTGTGAGACTCAAGTCACAGGAAATACTTCTTCCACCCTATTCAGTGCTGAGGAGGCCTCACCTGTAGTACTTTCTCCAGTTTCAGGCACTGCCCTTCAAGAACTAATTGAACAAACTGGACAGAGACTACAGAAAACCAATAAAATGATTAGAGGTCTAGCAAATATGACATATGAAAAAAGACTGGAAGAATTGGGATTATTTACTTTGGAAAAGGTAAGACAGAGAGGGCATTTGATAATAGCCTTCAAATATAGAAAGGATTGTTATAGAGGATGGCAGTCAATTGCTGTCTGTGTTCACGGGCAAGGGGACAGGAGAAGTAGTAATAAGCTAAAAAGGCAACAAGGGGCAGTAAGGTTAGATTTTACAAAGAACTTCCCCTACCTATGACAGGGGTTGAATACTGAAACACATTGCTCAGAGTTTGGGCAATTGCCAGCACTGGAAGATTTTAAGGGCAAATCAGACAAACATTTGGGATGGCTCACAACAAGGTGACCGCGCCTTGAACGGGGAGCTGGACTACATGACCTCCTACGGGCCTTTCCGGCCATGTTTTTCTGCTCCTGTTTTTTATAGATTTTTTGGAGCTGCAATGATCTGGTCACAAAGCGTTCTACTGAAGTGGAGTTTATGCTGCTCAGTAGTTCCTCCAGATCCCTGCACTGTTGCCAGGATTTCAAAACCCTGAACTGAGACTTCAAAACCAGCGATGCTCCCTCATCCCACGCACAATATTAAGGTTGAAGAGCCCTCACCACAACTCTACGAAAACAGGAAGTCAATGTTTGAAGTAGTACTTTGCACACAATAGAGTCAGGAAATTTGAAGTCTGCCCCCATTCAACAAAATACCCCACTTCTCCAAAATAATCCCCCGAGTTTTGGGCCTGACACCTCTGGCATGATGCAAAGTGCCACCCTGGTCTTCCAGCATCGCTGCAGCCAGGGCTACCATGCATCTTGTGTGTGGCATGTCTATAGACACCAAGTTGTTTGGGAAATATTACCGGAGCTGTGCACTTCCTGGTTTTCTAATGCTTATGACTGTGTCTCTGGGGTTTCAACACCACTAGTCTTTGAAGGGATATGCAAGAGGACCTTAACAGAGCATTTATCACTGCTGCAAGTGTCCTTGTTTCTTGTTTGCAAAAGGGGGAGGGAGTAAGTGATACTTGCTGCCTCTGAGGATAGGAATAGTTCTTGGCTTTCTGTCAATGTTATTAATACTGAGCACTGGAAGAGTTGCAGTTCGAACACACGGGGCCTAATCCTCATTTAAGGCCATTTTGTGCCACCCTAGCAATAGAGGGCAGAACAGGACCCTCAGGACATCCCATGTGCAGGAACCTCCCTAGTGATCACACAGCGGGCGTAAAAGCTCCAAGCTAACCCTGCAGCGGACATGAAGCATCAGGAATGTGTCGAGAGTGCATTGTGCTGCATTAACTATAAGGCCGGGGAAAGCAGAGCTGCTCTTGCAACAGAAATAGGGCTGAAATTAGCAGGGCCCTGATCCCTCAAATATACGTAGCTTAGAACAAGTTCCTCCTGCAAATACAGAGATGGAGCAAGGGTAGATGGAGGCCACTTTTCTAGAAAACAGCACACTGCACATTCACCAAGACTAAAATGACTGGGAGGGGTCCGCTTTCCCTAGGAGTCAGCATGCTGGCAATGTCAGTAGATTGCTAACACTGCCTCGTTCCACTCCATAATTACAAGCGACAGCCCAATAACTGTTCACATTTTAAAATGGGGACTTTTTTTTTTTTTTGGTACTTTGCAGTCAGTCTCAGCAAGGAGAGCCCAGAGATGCCAATTTCTCGTCTCTCCTGCAGGAGCTGGGTGGGCGCTGCCAGAAGTGTGGGCAGGAGCCACAACCTCCCTCTCCCGGTCCCCTTGTCTCCAGCTCTGGCAGGGGAAGATGCAGCAGCAGCAGCACAAGGGCAATCTGGGAAATGTAGTTCCTGTTATAGGGTGATGTCATCTCATTTTTCCTGCCAGAAACTGTGGGGGTTTCTTTGGCCACTAAATGCAAGTCTGTGGCAAAAAAAATAAAATAAAAAGGGGTGATATTTCCCCTCAGCACCACCAAACCTCCAGCTGC